GACTTTGCGCAGTCATTTGTTCACTTCAGCTCTCGCGACGATAACGGACAATGAAAAAATAGAGGACATCTTTTAATTTGCAAAACGGTTGTATAAACTTTAAACGATCAACCAGAATATACAAATGACATCGGAACTCCCTCGGTTTCTGCGGCTAAACACAGGTTATTTATGAGTAACGGAAAACTTTTACCGCAGACAAAATCCAATGTCTGTTCAGTGGGCTCTGTTTCAATTGACACACATCCATAAGGAATAAACAGAAATAACCCTTCACAGAGCATCCGAACTCTAGGCATCTGACACTCAGAAACAACAGGAATTCTCCGTGAATTTAGCAGCGCTGCGCTATATCTTTGAGAAGGTTTAGGATATGCTCGAGAAACTTCATCTGACTGATATGGCTAAAAATTGAATTCGACATATCAGTGATACAGAAGTGTTTTGGCGAATTTCAAATAATTCATTTTGACCCAACTGTGACAAACTCGGTGCCTCGGTGGAATTCGAACCCACGCAGTAAAGGGAGGGCTTTAGTACAACCAACGCTCTAACCATCTTTGTTACGAGGTCCCACCGGACGACGCGAATTCAATCACATTTTTGCAAAGTTTACCCGCCAGTCTTCTGCAACGTCTGGAACCCACCAAATCTGGTACAGTAAGCTGACTGCCCAAGTAGGATTTCCTAAGTAATGCATCTAAAATCACCCAGATTACTACCAGGCTCACGTAATTCAAAGGATTCTAGACGTAGTACTAAGAAAATCCTGCTTGGGCAGTCAGCTTACTGTATCAGATTTGATGGATTCCAGACGTTGCAGTTCATTGGGCAGGTAAACTTGACCAAAATGTGATTGAACACACGTTGTCCGGTGGGACCTCGTAACTCAGATGGTTAGAGCTTTGGCTGTACTATAGCCTTCCCCTTAATGCGTGGGTTCGAATCCCACCGAGGTAGCGAGTCTTTCACAGTTGGTTCAAAGTGGATATAAGTGATAAGCAGAACAGTCTAAATAATTTTAAAAATCATTATTACGCATTAAAACGAGCAGTTCTTATGCCCAAAGTTGGGTCTATATGCTTACGAGCCTCGTTCAATACAGTGGCGACTCTGCTGAAATTTGACAGGATTCTGGCATTTATTTTCCAGCTCTTATGCTTAAGGAATTTTCATTTATATGGTTAAGGATAAATTCCTCTCTTGCAACTGCAATCGAACTGCCAGCTACTGAACCACGGGCTTGCCGCTTTATCGGCCGCTGACGAGAACACTGCATCGTCAGCAACTGACATCTGTCACTCTAACCCTAGGTACACGAGGTCTCTAACTTTGCTATGGTCAGGTCATTCCAGTGCCCCTTGCTCCCCGGTATCACTTCTGGTTTGATGATTTCTCATTATTGCGTCACCACCTGCAAGGGTCCCGGACCGTAAGCATGATCGGAGGCGGATTTATCCATGCCCCATCCTATAATCAGGGTAATTCGGTCGACTCCGCTTATTTTTGACCTAATA